AGAAACTGCAAAGAAATAGTGTTTTAAATTAAGGCGATGATTCACATCACTTGGAACTTTTTAAATAGAACAGATTGATTCTTCATAACAGAGTTATGACCATTTGTATTACTAAAACTTTTTCCTCTTTTTAAACAATGGATATAAATGGTATTTGTTTGTTTTTAAATTACACTGCTAGTAAGGTCCTTTATTTTACAGAAAAGCTATAGGCAAAACAACCAAAATACTGGAAAGAAAGGCCTTGACCTGCCACATCCTCAAGTAGGTAAATAATTCATGTGTTTTTAATGACATGAGTATATTGGAAGTATGTGTAAATGTTTGCATGGGAATGCCTGAAACTCTCTGAATTAGAGCCATATTTGAAATAAATTTAGTAGCATAACATCTTTGTTACTATGAAACAAAATTGCTTCTAGATAACATTGAAAAGTTATAGTTGATACATATATCTTGTATACAAATACACACAGAAACACACAAACAGCAAGGTTTTTAAAGCAAAAATTAATATTCTAATATTTATAAATCCCAAAAGCATGATTTTAAGTAATTTGAGCCCTTTAAATAAAAATAGAACAGAAAAATACTGTTCAGCGAAAGCACTTTTGTTTCCTTATTTTTTTTTCCAGATCATATCTGTGAAGTGTATCACTGAATCACAGAATGATTGAGGTTGGAAGGGACCTCTGGAGCTCATCTGCTCAAGCAGGGCCACATTGCCCAGGACCAGGTCCAGATGGCTTTTGAACATCTCCAACACGGGAGACTCCACCAGCTCTCTAGGCAACCTCTGCCAGTGCTCAGTCACCCTCTGGGGTGGTGCATTTTCCCCCCTTCCCCTGGGTCACTCTACGTTCTCAGGAACTCCTGTTAGGCCTTAGCCATTGTGTAACGATTGGACGGTTGAGCGTCCCTTGACTGTACCAGCCACTCTTGCATGGCTAGGGTGGGGAGCGACACTGATCGTATCAGGAACACCGGCTACCTTATCAAGGTAGGGAATGAGAGCAGGGGATAATTCGTCATCTCTGACAGCCCTGAAGAATTCCCTACCTGGATCATAACTCAAGTGGAACGATACCATGGTTACTGTGGAACAATACCATAATTACTACCCCGGACCACCTTGGGTAGTGGCCAAGATGGAAATTTACTGATGACTAAAGCCAATCATCTTGCAAGCCTATAAACAGTGGTCCCAGGCGAGACCCTTTGAGTTCTCCTGGACCGGACCGGGCTGCGCCTTGAGTCTCCCTCTGAGTGGGAGTTTGTGACATTTGGAGGACTGTCGGAACCTGGGCTGAAACAGTCCTCGGCCGAGACACTCCTCAGGGCTCAACCCTTCGCCCGTTAAGAAATGCCACAGCATTTAATGTGAGTATTTCACAGACTCGAGGGGAATTTTTAACCGGTCTTCCATGAATTTACCTAGCTATGGGCCCTTGTATCTGAATAGATCTATATCTGTATTGATTCAGACAACTAACAATAAGCATAATCTGTAATTTAGTAATTGTAGTAAACTTGATTAACTCGCTTTGTAACTGTTAAATTGGTCAATGATTAAGTACAGTTAAAATCTTATGATCTATCTTAAAACTGTGAATGAACTTTAGGTCGCTGCTAAACATATATAACCCCTTAGATATAAAAAGTTGCCCAGGTCCAAGACTAGGGGTAGATCCAGCCGCACCTTGACTCTGCTCTGAGGAGTTTAGAAAACAAGGGGGTCTACTCTGAACCTCGTGACTCAACGGGAAAGTCCTCCTTACCCCTTCTGTTCTTGGTCTTTCTATAAATCATTCCAACATAATTCTGACACGATTTTCCCTGTGTGTGCTTAATCCATGTAATGAGTAATAGAGTGAACTTTGCCATCAAATTCTGCTAAGTCACACTTTTACAAATTTCTGTTAAAATGACCTTTTCTGATACCTTTGCCAGTGATTGTTTAAGTAGCCTCAAAACCACTCATTTGTGACAAATTAGCGTAGTCGGCAGGATCCTAAACCAGTATTTCGTGACACCCTCACAGTAAAAAAGTGTTTCCTTGTGCTCAGATAGAGCCTCCTGTGTTTGTTTGTGCCCATTACCTCTGGTTCTGTCACTAAGAACCACCGAAAAGAGCCTGGCTCTGTCTTCTTTACACTCTCCCTTCAGATGTTTATATACATTAATAAGATCCCCCTGAGCATTCTTTTCATCAGCAAACTGCCCCATCAACCAGGTCATTAATGAAGATGTTAAACATGACTGGCCTCAGTATTGACCCCGGTGGGGCACACCGCTAGCCACTGGCATCCACCAAGTGCTGATCACCACCCTCTGGGCTCAGCTGTTCAGACAGTTTTCAACCCACCTCACTGCTCATCTGGCCCATACATCAACAGCTTCTCTATGAGGATATTATGGGAGAGAGTGTCAAAGGCCTTACTGTAGTCCAGGTAGACAACAGCCACTGCTCTCCCCTCATCTACCAGGCCAGTCATTTCATCATAGAAATTTATCAAGTTGGTCAAGCATGACTTCCCCTTGGTGAAGCCATGCTGACTACTCCTGATGATTTTCTTGTCCTTAATGTGCCTGGAAATGGTTTTCAGGATTAGTTGCCCCATCACCTCTCCAGGGATGGAGGTGAGGCTGAGCAGCCTGTAGTTCCCCGGGTCCTCCTTCTTGCCCTTCTTCAAGATAGGAGTAACATTTGCTTTCCTCCAGTCTTTGGGTAATTCTCCCAACAGCCATGATCGATCAAGGATTATCAAGAGTGGCCTCGCAATGACATCTGCCAGCTCCCTCAGCACTTGAGGGTGCATCGCATCAGGGCCCATGGACTTACTCACGTCCAGTTTGCTTACGTATTCCCTGACCTGATCCTCTTCCACCAAGGGTACATCTTCCTTGCTCCAACCCTTCCCCCTGGTCTGTGGGACCTGGCATTCCTTGCTACATCCAGTACTTCAGCCTTTTTCATGTCCTGTATAACTAAGTCCCCCATCTCATTCAGGACTGGGCCCACATGTTCCCTAGTCTTCCTTTTGTCTCCTGTGTACTTATAGAAGCCCTTCTTGTTGTCTTTGACATCCCTTGGCATATATAGCTGAATTTATCAAATTTCACAGTAGTGTCATCACTGAAACTCCAATTTTGCCTCTGCAGCACTTTTTAAAGGTTCTCCTAAAAGGAATTCCCATCGTAAAAATTTGAAATATAGTAAAGTACTAAGTAACTAATTCTAGAAAAATATGAAACAACTTATTTTCCAAATTATGAAGGTAGGAAAATAATAAAAAAACCCCAAACAAAAATAATACTTGGAAACATTTTTTTTCAATTGTCTAGATAAAATGTATGGAAAAGAACACACTGTTTTGAACATTGTGGCCTGAAATTTCTACAATATTCAAACACACATTGTTTCTACATACGTACAGCTCCAGTTGGTTTTCTTACGAGTTGCATCTGTGTATTTGAGAGCAGAATTTGGCATATATTTAAAAAAAAAAAAAAAAGAATTTTAGTGAAAGACAAAATTTCTAGTATTTAATCTGCAGATCACATTTTGATTACCTGACTCATTTAATTAATTACTGATACGGCAGTGCATTGTTACTAGTGTTGGAAGTTCATATGAAACATCATGCATCACAAGATAGTAAGACTTAGGCTGAATTTGCAGGGTGTATCTTGTTCAAAATTCCTGTGCTATGGTTTCATCATTATGCTTATCAAGTTCCTAGTTAACCAAAGACTGCAAACCAAAAGGTCAACATTTAAGAAATTCCCAGATGGACAATTATGACATCCTTCAATGATAGTAAAGCAGACATCATATCTATTTTTGTATCAATTTAGAACTGCCTACTTGTAGAAACATGCCTGCACAGCAAAGTCACAGGCTGGTATGCCACTACATCTAAATTCTGGATTTGGCCTTCTATGGCTACATTGTATTTTTCACTTGGAGCAGCAGTGAAGTTTTGAAGCAAATCTGACAGTCCTCAGTTGCTACTAAGTAGTTTTGGTGCGTACTACGTTGCTTTAGCAGGACGCTAGAGTGGAAGTCCTCTCCAGCTGCATATCAAGCAATCTCCAATGTTTAAGCAGACATAAAGCTCCCAAGAACCTTATGCAGCTTTCAACCAGGGATTAGAGTAAAACTAATCCAACGGAAAACATTCAAATCACATCTAGCATAGATGTATGGGCCTAAGGACTAAATACATTGCTCTAATAATCTGTTTCTCTTGAGACCAATTACTCGCTTATGCAGACATCGCCTATACATCCTGATATTTTGCTGCAAACTTGCATGTTACTGATTTTTAGCACGAAATCCAAACCTGTAGCTCTGTTAGTTCACCACTTGGGACTAAACACTGCAGATGCCATCACTACACTGCAGTTGGTCATGAATTTATATTATTTTATGCAGTTATATATCAGAGAGAAAAACTAAACACCTCTACTATTTGAGAAAGATTGCTCAAACTGTTCGGTTTTAAATCAGAAAACAAGAATTATGATCCCAGAGATTTAGAATGCAAGAGCAAAGAGATAGCTTAGGAAAAATATATGCCCTCTTTACAAAGAAGTATCTTTAATGTTTAGACACTTAAGAGGTAAATCAGCCATGAATGTATGAAAAATAAACTGATCTATGTTTAAATAACTGTTTCCAAACTTTGTGTAGTGAAGTTAAGTTTGCAGATTTATGCATAAAGCAGAAATCATTACACTTTCCTATTACTGCATGTAGTAAATCAGAGCAATCTGCATTACAAACATTATACGTAGTGGGAGGAAATGATGCTTTCCAACAATCTCCAGCTTCAACAAAATAAACATCTTTGAAAACAGAGGTTGTTGATTTCTATAATGTTTACATTAAATCTTAATCTAAGCATTTATCAAATTAAAAAAAAAAAAAAAATTCAAATATAGCCCAAACAGAATATTCCTAACTTTTCAGTTAATTTGTTCCCTCCCCTTCTTACCTTCTCTGGAGGTGCAGGAGGGTGAAATCTCTTTGCACAAACTAGAAATGCATCAGGCTGTGGCTTGCCACACTTCACCTCGGGGTCATCTCCCAGCACAATATGATGAAAAAGACCAAAGAGGTCTTTATGTCTGGCTGTTTTCATCTGAAATGTCACTTCAGCTGAGCTGGTGGCAACAGCTATGGGTATGTTGTGTTTGTGTAAATGACGGATCAGCTTATCAACCCCTGCAAGATAAATATATACATTTTATTTTTATATATATGCATATGTGGAGGTATATGTATTAAGATTTACACCTACTTACAATATATTTAGCAGTATTTCAACAATGTTGTCTTACTGAATATAACAGCCTATTTCAATCAATTAGTGCAGAAGAAAATTCTTGCTATATCTGAAACGTTCCTTCTCCACACAAAAATCATGGAACATTCCTAAAGGTACATACTTGTTATGTCATCAAACGATGCTTTTCTCAAAATGTGCCACAAACGGGTTCAACATCACTGCATACGTACACCCACTAGAAGCCCATTAAGCAATGTCCCCAACATCATGTATGTTTATTATTTCAAACTCTCTGTAAGTGACAGAAAAGCACACAGGGGAACATCTTCTTTTATACAGAGAGTTATAGGCCGGGGGGGTGGTGGGGGGTGGGTGGAAATCAAAGCAAAGAAATATATTCTTCTCACTGAATGGTATAGTTTTAATTTCTGAAGCAGGTATCCAACTAGCTTAAACCAGCCCCTAAAAGAGCTCAGTTTCTTTCTTTTGCAATTACTAAAGCAAGTAACACTGGGCAAAGGAGGGGTGCTGTCAGTCACAGTTGTCAATACCAGAGCTTTACCCATTGATGCTGTGAACCCAGAGTAATGAACACCTCAAGTCTAATGGGTAGAAACTTCAATCCGATCCAGTCTTCTAAGGAAGGTTAATGCAGTGAACAGTGAAAACACAGCAGTCTGTGGGAAACATACTTCATTATTTGGTGCAAGAGGGAAACATACTTCATTATGCGGTGCAAGTTTTGAGTTTCCTATGCAGAGGTTTCAATGTTTCTTCACTGCAGCATTCTAAATGCTGGATACCTGTCCCAGACAAAACAATTAGCAGTGTCTAATGGTGAACGAGAGCAGACATCCAGTCTTTACCAAGTCACAAGAGAAAATCCCTCCATATCTGTAAAATCATTTCAGCTCTGCTTCTTGGCATGAATCCAAACTGTGCCGGACACAGGATATTAGTCTCCGGTAGATAAGCCTCCAGTTGACTTTTGGCTCTTTGAACGAACTTGAGAACAATTCTTTGTTTTTCATCTTCCAACTGCATGAATTCTTATCCTACTTTTCATGCCTGGCTATACTAAAGTAATCTTATTCCCTTCCTCCTGACTCACTGTCATACTTATGTCTGGTCCCTGCTCCCTCAAAACACTCTTATTCCTCATGACCATTTAATTACTTCCTTTGCCACCCCAGCATCTCCATGCATTTCCCATGAGGTCCAGCCTTTCTGCTCCATTAGTCTATTTTGACAATTCTATAAACAACAATCTTATCTGGAATGCGTTCTTCCCAAGTATAGTCATATGCCCAACTTTGAGAAATTATAATTACTACTGATAATAAAGTGTGTAGTTTAGTAAATAGGTGCATTAACTAACCCACCTCTCTGCAAATACGACCTGTAGATGTGGCTCTCTGCAGCTTTCTTCTCTATTCTCCAGAATCTAATCAACCAATTAATAACTGACATTTCCAGCTCCATACCTGTATCTGAAGATAGCCTTTAAACTATTAAATACACGCACTTCTGTGACTTTAGACTTCGGGTTGGACAGAAATAACAACAGTGTTAATCCTCCTCTAACGTCAATGCATCACCCATTTAAAAGCCTTCTTATGCCCCCTTAAACAGGGGGGCATAATCCCCTGATAAGCAAGAGCATTTTTTCCCAAATTATGCCATTCTATCCTCTCTTTGAAATATGATGCTAAATACAAGTTAACTTTTTATTTGAGATACAGATTACGCCTTCATTCTGAAACATGTGAAGTAAGTCCATACTAAATTAATGGAAGTACTAAGATATCTTAATGTAAAGCAGTAGCCTAAATGTCTCTTTTTAAAAATAAAATTCATTCAAAGGAATTTATACTAAATAATCAGCAACATTTAGCAAGGCTAGCATATCATGTCTGTATTAATATAAAGAAGTTGTCTAAAGATTATACAAGTAAAAAGACTTTTCCTATCTCCTATGCCCTTGCTATGATATAGTTAGTTTTCTCTAAAGTTGTGCTCTTTTCAAATAGCTAATTTTCTTCAGTCCCACTGCATCACAGCTTCAGTTCATCTGTCACAGGGTATGTTTATTCTATGTTTCTATTGGAGGTAACCAGCCATGGAAAAGCACTGTTGCAGAAAGGTTATTTCTTCACGGTTCTCTCATATTCCCCCCCTCACCGAAATCATGTCATGATTTCAGTATATAAATGTGTGTGTGTGTTTACCTTGTCTTTTTGGCTTCCCTCACTACAAGGGAGCTAAAATGCAGCTGTCCCTAACAGATTCACATTATTCAGAAAATGCACTTTAATAAAAATATGCCATTTTAAAAATGATTATTTGCATATGTGTAAACATAGCAAGATAGATTAGAAAAAAAAGGGGAAAATCAGCTGCATGGAAAAAAAAATAAATTGCATATGGAAGAATAGCTAGCATAACTTAACAAGCTTAAGACAGTAGCAGTTGAAAAATATTTTCATTCCAGGTTTGTTATTTCCTTTTAAAAGCTATAGATCAACAAAATCCATTTTTGTTTGCATCAATTACCACCAGTATAGCTCTAGACACTTTGCCACCACATCAAATTACTGGCACAATTATTGTACTAATTCAGCATATAATTCTTCATTAGGAAGATAATATCTTTCTTGGTATCTTTCTTGTGCTTTTTTTACAGACGTCAACAGAAGGGGAAGTGGGGACTGCTTTAAAGATCCGTAATAAACTTCCCCTGGCATATACTTTGTCATTATATCCCCTAGAGCTGCATAGATTTTTCAACCAAATGAAGTCTTCAGTTACATCAAAAATGCCCAATTAAAAACTCAATGGCCATGATGAAGTATGGTGAAAATTCCTGTGAACTCACTAACTTCTAACTTACTTGTCGCTACCATGGAAGGGATTGAGGCCCATCCATCACAGAGGGACCTATCTGCTAGGCTTCCTGGGAACATCCTCCACCCCTCCTACTGAAAGCTTGGCCACATGCAGCAAGTTCTTTTTTCTTTTTTTTCTTTTTCCTTTTTTTCTTTTAGTATCTTTGATTAAAAAAAAAAAAAGAAAAATCTAAAGAAATAAGGATCTCTGTTTTTCTAGCATAAGGCTATACTCTTAATGTGGTACACATGTAATAACAATTTAGGCAGTACTACATAAATTCTTCAAGTAATCATAAAAAAATCAGGAATAGATATCCCACGTTGCTGTGCTTTATTTCCAAATGTACTCTTTTATTTCAAATAATCAAAAAGGTAAATACTGTTTCTTTCCTCTATCTTTTTAAATACTAAGTTTCAGAACAGATACAGAAGCTTACTATATTCTAAATGTAATAGTTAAACACCTGTGACTATTGGAAGAAAAATAGGTGAAAATAATTGTAAGCTGAGTTTAGTTACAGAAGCTGAAAATAAGAAGGATCAACTTTAAATGTCAGCATCTTTAAAACCTGATTAATCACAAATGTCAATGAAGTTAACAACTTTGGGAAAAGAAAAAGAAAACGAACTAAACCAACAGAAAGGAGTTATTTCTTCTGAGACTACAAACACATTTTAAAGGAAGAGATCTGCATTTTTTATCTTTCTCTTTTCCTAAAGTGAAGTTTCTATGAACACGTTATAGTAGACTATAAGAATGCTTTTCAGATAAAAAAGAAAGTGATCTCCATCACAAACTGCACAAACATCTGAGATAGGGAAAAGGATTATTCGTGCTGCTTCAGCACTGAACCATAATTTCAGTTTCCTCTGTTCACCAGTTGAATGATTTCTGGTGTTCATATTTTTGCTTGCAGTCGATTCATTTGAAGGCATAACTACACCATCAGGCAAACAATCACGCACTAAGCTCTGCCAGTACCTTAACCTGAAAATCCCTGTCTTGTAAGCATGGAGCAAGTCCTACAGTCTTCTGGCTTCAGGAATACAGCTGGCTCGTGTACCGCCAGCACAGAGCACAGGAACAAGGTCACGTAAATGCCCACGCCTACACAGACAGTCCCACTGTCTTTTCTAATGTCTGTTTCAATCCTAAAAAGATGAACATAAGCTATGTAAGAAAAAGCCCTTAAAAAATGAATGGAACTCCCCAAGGCCATCTCTTAAGCAAAAGCATACATTGTAAACAGGATCACAAGAAGTTAGTATCCTAAAATTTACAAGGTAGCTTTTATGAAAGTTAAGCTTCAAAATTACATTACAGGAGCTCCTACCTGGCTGAGGTGGCCTCAGATAAACAAACAGTGGGATTTTCAGTGGCAAATCCTTTCACGAACGTCACAGTGTACCACACCTCTCTTGCATCTCTTTAGTCCTTCCTTGGGTGCCACCTAGGTACTAATTACATCTAATTTCTAATTAATAGTATTTTAACCATTATGCAATCCCAGGAAGAGAAACAGGAAATCAGTGGGCAATAGAGCAGACAGTGTGTGTGTGTTATGTCTTTTTTTAAATTTGTTACTTGAAAGCTAACATGTTCTTCTAGGAAGGACACTTAGCAGACACATCCCCATTTTTCCCACCCTCAAACAAAACCCAAACAGCTCACAGGGGTTTCAGTTCTGCACCAACCATCACAGATAAGATTCCATCATAGTTTCCAACTAATTTAGTTATGGTGTTAAGCGATTTAAGAACATTTTGAGCAAGCTGGAACAGAGAGCCATCATATACATTAATACTTTATATTCTTCTAAATGAATGTTGTTCTTATTCAAACAATTACAGTGTCAGACATCTAATAATCAGAGAAATAGTACAACGTAGGATTACTTTAGTTCAGGATAGAAAATAATGAAACACCCCCCCCAAACCAAAACACCATACATACAGAATATTCCTTATACTAACTAAATGCAAACATCAAGTAGCCAATGAAATCAGGTTATATTGTGGAGTTTCCATAGATTCTGCCTGTTCATTTT